ATCCAACTGTAGGAAGTCCTTCCAAATTCCAGTATCTTGTAATTTTTCCTTGGTTACTTTGGTATGGTATGGAAATAATTTCTATATTCATGAGCCATAAAAGCTTTGAAATTATATAAAGCATCCTTTTCATTTAGAATTATCCCTATATATTGTCACCCAGAATCAGCTTTGAGCTAAGAAAGAATCAGAGCAAGCACTCGAAAAGGTATTAGGAGAAAACCAAGTGTCCTTCTTTAATCCTAAAGTGTATGTTTGCAATGGAAAAAGGGCATCATTTTGCCCCCAAGACTCAGGATAGACATGAAAAGGACGAAAAGCCATTAATTCAAGAGCCTGAAGAAGCGACAATGCTTCCTAGCACAGATAAGAAAGCATCTGGGCCGTAAAAGTTGAAATACATGTGAAGAAGTTGAGCATCTCCTCATGCCAAGGAGTTCGTTTCTCATCAATAGGTTGGAATAAAGTGGAGTGCTGTCATAATGACTATTATTCTCAGAATAATGTATATTTTGAGAGGAATTCCAATTCATATATTTGGAAAATATTTTCAGGAAATAAATTCTTTGTTCAAGATGTTCTTCGATTCCCAGAATATCTTTACAGGAAATTCAACTACCATGTCATGAGGAAGAATTCAGTTTTTCAAAACTGAAGCTATATCATCATGTTCACGTATTGTCAACTATTAAATATTAAAAGCCAACAATGGGTGTTAATTTTCTGATTTGAGCAACTTTGGAATATGCATATGTTGTATAGCATATATGATTGAATGGTCAGCATTAGGATCTAAATACACCAAAATTCAAAACAATTACAGGTGGTCCTAGCAATCATTTGAAGTTACAAAGGACCCCCCAAAAACTTCTTATAACCCCGTTTCAAAGTTGCAAGCACTGCAGTGCCCCCCCATTCTTTCCCCACCAGATCACCACATGCCTTGGGAAAGGTGGGCATGCCTCTGTCCCTCCACATCCCTAGATACATATGGCTGCATCCTGGCAGTGGTAAGTACCTAATGGATTAATGGGGGGGCAGGGTGGTGGAAATTAGTCCCAAAGCATGTGGGGGTCGAAAAAGGGTGGGAAATAAAGTATGGGATGCCTCAGAGGGTAAGGGAGACTTTGGTAGGCCCGGGACAGGTGGGCAAGGCCTATAATAGGCCTCTGAGGGGTTCCCCCACCTGAGACATGGTGAGTGCTTAAAGACCAGGATGGTTGATTAACAATCACATTGGCGAGAGCAAGAGTGGGGGGTCATTAAGGGAGGGAATCACAAGATCGCCTCACTTAGCTACCAACAAGACTTGCAATTTTAATGGGCATGGTCCTTTATTATTATAGTTCAAGGACTGCCTGTATGTTAGTAAGTTATGGAAGGTAGTATCTAATAAAAAAAGATGTGACTCTTTTTTTCAATGTTACATTTACATTATGGGGAAATCCAACTTTAATATTTGGGCATAAGATGAAGATATGGAATACATACCCTTAATATATTTGGAATGGTTTGAAGATTAGAAAAGATAAATTTTGGAAAGAAACGATGATGCAACCTCAGAAAGAGCAGTTAAATTATTATTGCAATTATAACTCCTGTTAAGATCGGAAGCTACTTTATTCTTTTTTTTATTTCTCTTTCTTTTTTTGTACATCTTTCTTACCCATTTACTACAGATAGTCCTTCACCTATGATCACAACCGAGCCCAAAATTTCTGTAACACGGCTTCCCCACTGATTTTGTTTATCCGAATGTTGCAAAAGGTGACATGACTGGTGGACACTGCCGCCGTCATAAATACATGCCACTTTCCAAGCAGCTGAATTTTGATCATGTGACCACCAGGATGCTGCAATGCTTATAAGTGTGAAAAATGATCATAAGTCAGTTTTTTCAGTGTTGCTGTATGTTCAGTCACTAAACAAATGGTTTTAAGTCAAGGACTATCTGTACTTGATATTCTTTACTTCCTCTTCAAACCTTGTGATGATAAAAATTCTTTAATAAAATTATGTAACAAAAAAAAAATAGCTGATGGCAACTAACTACATCTTCCTGAACTCTCTGATTGGGAAGTAGCAAGCGCTTACCCACATAGACCACGTTCCTATGATTTTCCATCATGACTTCCCAATGCAGTGCTTTTTGGTCAGGATCCAACAGAGACCATTCCTGCTTGGAGAAATACACAGCCACCTCCTGGAAGGACACATGGCCCTCCTGAACAAGGAAACAAAGAATAAAAGAGGTCCAGGTGGATTCGCAAGATCTGTCCCATTGTTACCTATTTTAAAAAATGAACTTAACTTGAAAGAATGGCAGAGAGACTTGAATCGCTTTATTTGGGAAGGCAAGAAGGCTCGTGTTAAATTCAAGATTATTCAAGATGTTAGAGAACGTGGAGGACTTAAAGCTCCAAATTTGACACTTTACTATGATTCTTGTGCATTGACTTGGATGACTGATTGGATTAATTTATC